ATATATATATATATATATATATATATATATATATATATATATATATATATATATATATATATATATAGTACAATCTGCAGACATGCATGTTTCGGCGTCCTACGCCTCATCAGTGCAGCTTGGTACACATCTAGACACGCAATGACCTTCGTATTGATATACATGACACTTGCTCTCCCAAGCGAATGTGGTACAACACGAGCCATCAACGCATCTAGACATGCGCAGAGTGACATGGGGCCAGAGTGCTCAAACAACCACGAGGGAAGTGAGCTTTGCATTATTGCTAATGGACACCCAATTAACTCCACAGAGTGCTCTACAACACCGAAGTGAAGGAGCGTAATAGTACAATCTGCAGACATGCATGTTTCGGCGTATATATATATATATATATATATATATATATATATATATATATATATATATATATATATATATATATATATATATATATATATATATATATATATATATATATATATATATATACCAAATATGTATTTAGAATCATATATGAGTAGAGTGCTCGATATACCGAAGTATAAAGCTAATATAGATAAAGATAAAATAAACCTGGTTTACTTCATAAGATTTATTCACTGAATTTATTCATTTATTCATTGAGTGAATAAATTTTATGAAGTAAACCAGGTTTTTTTAATCGTTATCTTTATCTATATATATCTATATATATATATCTATATATATATATATATATATAACAATTCAAGTCTTCTTGATATAATATAGAGTGCTCAATACTTTATTGTAGAGCTAAATATATTTAATTATTTAAATAAAGTACAAAACAAACGTTGTTACTCAGAGTTGTTAACAGAACTTTAGTTGTCCGAAGATTGTCTGTAAACTCAGGCATGAAACTCTGAGTAACAACGTTTGTTTTGTACTTTATTTAAATAATTAAATATATATATATATATATATATATATATATATATATATATATATATATATATATATATATATATATATATATATATATATATATATATATATAATCAACCAAGTGCCTTCTGGATGCTACACAACTGGCTGTCAAACGTTGATAAACAAGGAAATTCGTTACGAGTCTGCCTTCTCTTCTCGATTTTAGCAAGGTCTTTGACCGCATTAATATCAATATATCCTGATTGAAAAACTCAAAAGTTTCCGAATACGTATAGGTGTTCGATTTCTTGCATGATATGTAATTTCCTATCAGATCGAAAACAGCGCAGGTAAAACTCGAAGAAACGGTATCGGAGTGGATGTTAGTAAATGCAGGAGTTCCACAAAGTACTAAATTAGGTCCTATTTTGTTCCTTGTTATGGTAAATGACCTTATTCCACCTATATAACAGCGATTATTGGAAACATGTGGACCACATGTCGATTTCGGGGGTGAACGTCAAGAAATGGTGTTTCAATCTTGGGCCACTGACATGCAACTATATAAAACCGTGAAACCGAAAAAATGTAAAGCACTTAGAATAATTAAATCCATTTCCTTAAATCCTATATATAGTCTATATTACTTCAAGTGCTGTTATACTTACTTTTCCGGATAAAATGGATAAAATTCAACGAAGAGCTTCCCGAATTATACACAATAATACAGGCTATTTCAATTAAGGTTGTCCCCGAGTAAAGCGGAAAAGTCGAATACGAGCGCGAAAGACTTGCTGCGAATCGCTAAAAAATTAATTCTGGTTGTCTGTCATTAGCGGAAAATATAGACAACAGTTGTCTCAAAAACTAATTTTGAAACAAATTATTAAGGCCCCTGTTACAACATACCGAATTCGCATCGGAGCGACATCGAATGTTACTGCTTCGAGGTGAATTTAGCACTTATAAAATTATGATAATATAACATAATTAAACAAAAACTTCATATTTGAAAAGTTGTAATAGCCGATAAGACTGGAAAACACCTTAAATTGATGTCGCTC